GCACCACCCCCCGCCCCCGCCCCTATAAAAACCGCCACCCGCGCGGCAGCCAATCAGGGGCGCTGCACGTGCCCGCCTTGCTGTTAAGCTCACAGTCAGCCACGCGCGCTTTTCCAGAGTGGATGCTCGCTCCTCAGGGGTCGTCAGTCCTGCCGCGCCTGCACAGAGAGGACTGAAGATCGGCCGTTGGGATTGTTGGCTGTGGGAGGCAGCAGCTGGGCACCACGTGAGGCTGGCGACGTGAGGGACTTTGCTGGCTGTGGAGACAGCAGAGCTGAGGCGCGGGGCGGGAGGCAGCCAGACAGAGACGATCAGGGCGGGACCAAGCTGGTGCGCAGCCCTGGGCCTGGGTCTGGCTGCCTCTTCTGACTGGGCCTGGGCCTGGTCCCCTCCTCTCTCTAGACCTGGTCCCTTGGAAGTCTCTCTGTACGCCCAGTCACCTCCTCTCTGTAGGCCTAGTCCGCTCCTCTCTGTAGGTCTGGTCTCCTCCTCTCTCTGGGTCTGGTCCCCTCCTCTCTGTAGGCCTAGTCCTCTCTCTGGACTTAGTCTTCACCCTCTGTGGGCCTGGTCCCCTCCACTCTCTGGACCTGATCTCTTATTCTTCCTGTTCTTTGGCCCAGTCCCCTCCTCTGTCTTAATCTGGTCCCCACCTCTGCCTATACCCAGGCCTGGTCCACAGCTGGTTCCCACCTCTCCGTGTTCATAGTTCTGGTGCCCTCCTTTCCCTGTGGTTGGGCCTTGTCTCCTTTCTCTGTACCTGGTCTCCACTTCTCCCTGTGCCCAGGCCTTGTGCCTTTCTCTCCCTCAGCCCGGGCCTGGTCCACACCACACCTGCCTGTGCTCAGACCTTGTCCACACTGGGTCCTCACCTCTCTTGTTTCCAGGCCTGGTCACCATTTGTTACTGTGCCTGTGCCTTGTCTCTTAATGTTCCCTGTTCCCAAACTTCATCCTCTCTTCTCCCTGGTCTCCATCTGTCCCTGTGTCCAGGACTGGGCCCCCCTCTCCCTGTAACTGGGCCTTGTCCCCTTTTCTCTCTTTCCTGTTCCTGGTCTTCCTATACCCAGACCTCATACCCTCCTCTCCTTGTTCCTGGCTTCAGTCCCCCACCTTTGCCTGTGCCTTGTCCTCTCCTCTCCTTGTAGCCAAACCTATAACAGCACCTCTGACCATGCCCTCACTTGCTACAGTTCCCAACCTTCTTTACCTGTACACCTGGCCCTCCACATCTGAACCCCAGAGGCATGGCTGATGTCACCATATATGGAGAGAGTTGGCCAGCTTACAGTGGTGGGCCCTGAGTTATAGGGGTGCCTGTGAGATGGGCCAAGTTATGGGGCCTTTTTGTACACAGTTATTAAACTCCATGTGGGGCCCAGACCCTTGACGTTGTCCTTCTGGAGTTCAATGGGGGTGGGGTTCAGGGGAGCATAAAATAGAGTGAACAGATGGTTTAGAACCATAAAGCCAACTAGGAGGTGTTGAGGTGAGTGGCTGGCCTTGTGATTTAGGGACAGGGCTCCCTACACAGGAGGTTGAGGGTCCCAGCTGTGGGGGGTTGGAAGAGGAAGCTGGAAGCTCTTTGGAATGAGAGAAGATCAGTACATAGAATTACTGTGCTCCTTTGTGAATCCCCTGGTGGTATGATCTAGCACTAGCCAGAGTGTGTTCAGCCTCCTTTCTACTCTATTGAAGCAAAATGCTGTGTAACATGAAGTTAGCATCTTGGCCATTCTTAAGCTCATCATGCAAAGCTGAACCAGTTTTTGTTTCTAAGCTCGCGTTAGAGCTGCACTGCTAAGTGTATGGAAGTCATTTTTTAAAGTATTCTCATTGGCTAGTAATATAGCTCTCTCTCCTTTAGGAGTGACTAAATACACCTACATCCAGACAGGGATACTTTTGAAACTGGAAAGAGGCCAAGCTGAAAACCTGAACTGACTGGGTAAGTATAATGCAGTCTTTTTGGGAATAACCTCTACAGTGCTGCTCAGACACCCCTGCAGAACTGGGTCTGACAGGGTTATGGAGTTGAAGCGGTGGCCTTTGTATCACCAGCACACTCTGAGAGCATTCCGTGTAGGAAGCAGCTGTTACTAGTGACCTTTGGGGTTTTTGGTTCATTTTAGGTAGTCATTGTTAGGGTGCCAAGCAAAGGAGCAAAAAGGGCAGGAGCTGGGCTGGAGTTGAGTGTGGGTGAGACGTGCCAGGTAGAAACAGCCATGGGGAAAGCATAGAAAAGATGGTCTTTGGGCTGGCCCTTAAAGGATGAACTGGATTCTTCTGGTTTACAGAGGGAACACCTCAGCTAAGGCATCCCTGAGTCAGGAAGTGAACTGAAGCTGGTGGGAAGAGAGCCAGTTTGCTAGACTCTCCTTCCATTAAGGCAAGGATGCAATCCAGCACTCCATGAAGGCATGTTGTGTACACCCCTGCTTAGGATGAAACCTGTCACTAGTTGCAGTATGCTATACCTGGCTGATAAACCAAGTATAACCTGCTTCAGGAAGCACTGACTAATGTGGGGGTTTGTTCAAGGTTCAGGCCCTGGAGCCCAAACGACCCCACCTTCATCTTCTCCCCTGTGGTGCGTGAGGGGTGATGAACATGAATGTGCTGCTCACAGCAGGCCAGCTGCTGAAAGCTGGGAGCTGTTGGCACTGACATAGGAGCAGTGAATGAGCAATTTAGAAATAACCCTGTGGTTTCTTCTCATCACCATAGCTGCTGATGGATTCATGGGAACAGGGTTCTAGAAAACACAGGAAGTTGGGAGGCTTGGGTTTGGGTGTGTTTAGTTCAAGCTGCAGTTGGGGCTGGGGAAGACTCAGGGTGCCATGGGTCTAAGAAATAGCTCTCTGAGGAGCCACCTTGAAATGTACTACAAATGTCCAACTTCACAGTGGATTGACTCATAGCCCCACACAGGAAAGAACAGCCCTGCCCCAACATTGTTACCCTCTGCACACTGGTTTCCTAAGTCTGCTCACCATGAATAATTATTGAAAACCAAATCTTTTATTACAGTACATTTCCCTGAACCAGGCTCTAGTGAGCACCAGGTTTGTAGGATGTAGGAACATTCCTCTAAGAAGCTGTGTTGGAATGCTAGCCCAGCATGCATGAGGCAAATCCTCATTAGGAAAGATTAAGAAATAATTGCCTGGAACTTAACTATAGGATCTTAAATTATTTTAATGGTAACACTGTAGAAATGGTCAATACATTTGTGCTAATTGAGTGCCATCCTCACATTTATTTCCCCTTGTGACAGAAAATGACGGGGCGAGCCCGAGCACGGGCCCGTGGAAGGGCCCGTGGGCAGGAGACTATGCAGCATGTTGGATCGACCACGGTGAGCATCCATCCTTTACAGCTTAGAAGGGTCTTGACTTGAAAAGAACACTGGTGGTGTTCTTGATGGTAGAGTACTTGTTTAGCATGCAGGAGACCCCAGGTTCCAGGGTTCCACTCCTGGCACCTCAACCTAACAAACATAAATCAGATGCTCTAAAGGAGGTGGGGGCTAAGCACGGGTATGAGAACTGGCTGACTTGATAACTCTTGCCTCAGATCTCTTTTTAAGAAAAAAATGTGTGATTAATAAGATGTTGCTGAATGCCATAGGCTAGTTTAGGACTTGTGGTTACTCTGGTATCCAACCTGCAGCATAAAGTAATTCGATTCTGTTTGTGTATGACCAGAGCCAGCAGCCTGGCTACATCCAGCCGAGACCTCAGCAACCATCCGCAGAGGGGGACTTGGTTAGTCGAGGACGGCAGAGAGGTGTGGTCGTTGGAGCTATAGCCAAGTCACAAGGTGAGAGGGAAGCAAAGCTTGCACAGTGCTTAGTACATCACAGAGCTGGGACAAACAACTGCTCACATACAGGTCCAGTGGTATATTGCAGAGTAACACAATGTCTGTTACCCTGTGTAGGTTCAAAATGAATTAGACTGCCACTTGCCAGGGCCACCTTAGCAAACATAACGATTAAATTTCAAATGTGACATCACTCTGCCTACTCTGCATTAATAACCCATTTTTTGGACATTTTCTTGAATCTGTAACAATTTCATCAAGAGCTGGATTAACTTCACTGTAGTTTGACTTAGAAAACATGTCTTCACATGTGTGGGGCAGAACCAGCACAGCCCACTGCCAATGTTAGGCATTCTGTCAAAACCTGCAGGGAGAGCAGAAGGTCCTGCCTCTGAGGGACATTGTTCTCAAAATGAGTCATGTTCTTCTGAAAGAGGGGAGACTAGTTACCCAGGAGTCCATTAACAGGTTCTCCTATACAAGATGTCATGTTCATGTTCCTGCACTCAACCAGAATACCATCATCTGACAAAGCTGAGGTCATCCTGTGGCCTGTTTCATGCTGTTGTTCTCAGGTGCCAGTTGTATACATGCCACATGTTGGGTGGCTGATAACTTAAGACTGTTTAGCTGTTCTCAGAATAAGCAAAACCTGATGGATGTAATCAGTACTGTATTCCCTACCCAGCATGACCCAGTATAGGATGTATACATGAAGATTCTGCTGGTTGTTAGCAGAACCAAATAGTGAGGAAACTTTCCATCATACCTGTGCCATGTTCTCATCCAGGTTATAGAGTTAACACGCTAAATTCTCGATGTCTTGTAGCTGTAACTACAGCAAGCCAGGCTGCAGAGGATGCTATACTATTAAGGCCCTCAATACATAAAATACAGAAACATGTCCTATTCACCAAACACATGTCATGAGTCCTTGCATCATATCTCAAGTGCCTGGCCTATTAAAGTGAAGGGGTCTTGTAAGGAGTGATCAAGTCTGCCAAAGGCTGGGGAGAGAGGGCTCTGTGAAGGACAAGGTGTGGAAAAGAATTTGATGTGTTGCCTGAGCAGCTGCACACCCACCTCAAAACCCTGTGAGGAATGCTGCTGTCCTCTGTCCCAGGCTCACTGCTGTCCCAGTGGGTGAGCCACTTTCCTCTCTCCTCAAGAACTGCAGCTATCCGCTGGATTTCAGGAAATGTCATTGGCAGAGAGAGGAGGGCGTCGTAGAGACTTCCATGACCTCGGTGTGAACACCAGACAGAACCTTGACCATGTCAAAGAATCAAAGACAGGTGGGCTCACAGCAGCACCTCTTCTGGAATCTTTTCATGGGTACAGGGTACACACTGTATAGGTTTCTCATAAAGAGATTGATGTTGTGGTGAATTACATGGTCTCCCCTTAAGAAGTAGGGTGGTGGTTCTCAAGGCCAGCTGTCATGAAGGTCAGTGCTGACCATTGTCCTAAGCTCTACCATGTCTGAAGGAAAGCTCTCAGAAGAGTGTAACCATGCCAAGGGCTGACTACATGTGGTGGCCCCTCAGGCTCTTCGGGCATCATCGTGAAGCTGAGCACCAACCACTTCCGACTGACCTCACGCCCCCAGTGGGCCCTGTACCAGTACCACATTGACTACAACCCACTGATGGAGGCCCGAAGGCTGCGCTCTGCACTGCTCTTCCAGCACGAAGATCTCATTGGAAGGTGTCATGCTTTTGATGGAACAATACTATTTTTACCTAAAAGACTACAGCACAAGGTTATTTCAAAAGCCTCCATGGGCAGTGGGAGATGGGGGTGTCCACATCAAAGCAAATGTTTTAAGCATGGGACATGAGACCTCCCAGGAGCCCCTGTAACATACTATGTCCTCCTTGGGTCCCTTGAGAGACAGGACTGTGTGGAGTTCTATGAAGGCTCTCAGCTACTCAGCCAATTTTTAAAGGTTTCTGTTCACAAATGTCTGCTTTGGGGGGTTGCTTTGGTAAAAGGGCCCCAGGGGACTCGGTGTGCTTTTCTGTGCAGAGTTAAGAGCTGGGTTTCACACCTCTAACTTCAGGTCACAGAAGTTTTCAGTCAGACACGGAATGGAGAACACGTGAAGATAACCATCACCCTGACCAATGAGTTGCCACCTACCTCACCTACCTGCCTGCAGTTCTACAACATCATCTTTAGGAGGTTTGTACCCCATAGCCTGTGTGAGCCACACAGGAATGCCATGTTGTCATTTTAAGGTGTGGTTTTCTAGCAGGAAATTCATTTACTTGCCTTTTGGGATTCTCTCTCTAACTTCCCCCAGGGTACAAGTCTTTGAAATACTGTTTGAGTTGTTAGAAACACATATACCTCAAGTGCCTCTTGTTGATTGCTTCTCTCCCTTGCCCCCAGGGCAGGTGAGAGCCTCCTGGCTGCTCCATGGCAGTGGATGATTACATGGGGAGCAATTGGCTTTCAGTGTACATACTGCATTTTCCAAATAAAAACATGTTCTAGGGGCTGGCTCAGTAGGTAAAAGTGTTTGCTGCGAAGCTTGAGGACCTGATTTCGAATTGCCAGTTCTCATGTAAAAAGACAGATATGGCTGTTCTCTTATAATCCCAGTGCTGGGGGTGAGGCAAGACAGGATCGCTGGGGCTTGCTGGCTGCCAGCCTAGGTCCAGGTTTACTGAAAGATTCTGTCTCAAGGGAATAAGGTAGACAGTGATAGAACAGGATACCTGATGTCCTCTTCCTGCATGGGGACACATATCCCACACATGTAGACATGTTCTGCAGAAGACCCCACACTGAGAAGAAATCTGAATGAGGCTGAAATTTGCATGAGAGTAATTGTATACAGTAGTTGAAATCATAACTTTGTAAGTTGTTAATAGTTGGCTCCTGGTAGAAGCAGTTACCGTGGTAGATATTTGAGTGAATACCTTTGGTAGGTACATTCCTTAAAGGAGCAAGTGGCAGACTTTATGCAGAGAGCTACATAAATAATATTAGACAGCTGCTCACCTCTTCAGACACAGCTTCGGACAGCACACAAACAGATCACCCAGTTTGCTCCAATAAAGCATAATTGATACACACTCGAATTTGAAACTCCTTATATGTTTTGAAATAATCTTTTTTAACCTTTAGCTATTTTAAGAACAATTTTTGACTCCCAGGCAGTATGGAAATAACTGGCATGGCCACAGGTGACAATGGGCCCTGTTCTGAGAGTAGGTTGTTCTGACTATATGTAGTTCTGGGTAGTCCCTAGTACTTAACACTAACAGTTCTTTCAATTTCTAGGCTTTTGAAAATCATGAATTTGCAACAAATTGGACGGAATTATTATAACCCAAGTGACCCAATTGATATTCCAAACCACAGGTTTGTATGCGGTGGAAAATCCCAGTCACTTGGGCCAGCACAGACTTTGAAATGGTCTGTAAACTTGAAACAACCTGTTGTTTATGGTGCTTATAGTTAAAGGAACATATAACTTGTCTTTAACAATAAGGAGTCACCTCAGAGTACTTCCATTAAAAAGAAATAGAGTCAGCAGCACATGCTGTGTGTGCTGCTGTGGGTCTTCAGCATCATCAGCTGAAGATGCCAATTGAAAGGTACCAAGGCCTCACAGCTCAGGTTTGTGATAACATAGGTACTTTGAGTTAGATTGACCACTGTAAAGAACAGTTTAGTCAAGTTAGTGTGTTTACTTATAAAACGATTTTGAAATCTTTGGAAAATAGGTCTCTGTCTAGAGTCTTGTGAAACTTAGAAGTAAACAGTCTCAGCAGCTTCCTGCTTCATACATAGGGAATAAAGCTGAAAACCCAGCATGAGGCCCATGACCTGTCCTGTGTTGGCAGGTTGGTGATCTGGCCTGGCTTCACTACTTCCATCCTTCAGTATGAGAACAACATCATGCTCTGCACAGATGTCAGCCACAAAGTCCTCCGGAGTGAGACTGTTCTAGACTTCATGTTCAACTTGTACCAGCAGACAGAGGAGCATAAGTTTCAGGAGCAAGTTTCTAAGGAGCTCATAGGGTTAATCGTCCTTACCAAGTAAGTCCTACTTCAAGTGTACAGTGACCCTCTGCCATCTTAAAAGCCTGGAGCTTCTTGGCCCATAACATTAGAGAATAAATGGGGCTTTGGGGGAGTCAGGCAGAGGCTAGTGAAAGTTAAGAGGATACCTGTCGGCTTTCCAAAGGCTATCCCTTTTTCAAAGGGGCATTCCCCTCATGATGTCTGCCCTCTTTTTATTATTTCTAGCTGTTGTTAGGTCCTTTCCCTACCCCTCCAGCCCCATCATGTATTCCCAGGGGACTGGATATGCAGGTAAATCCCCCCCGCCCCCGCATTTCCTTCTGATGTATACCTGATGGCCCTCATCCCACAGGTACAACAATAAGACTTATAGGGTAGATGATATTGACTGGGACCAGAATCCAAAGAGCACCTTCAAGAAGGCAGATGGCTCAGAGGTCAGCTTCTTGGAGTACTACCGGAAGGTACGAGACCCCCCAAAGTGGTGTGAAAGGTATATGTGTGCAGGCCCTACTCAGTTTTTCCCACATCACTGAGAAGCTGCTCACATCCTAGGAAGTACCTGCCCTGGCTTCTCTGCCCAGCAGAAGGGTCCATTTGGCTTTGCATGGTGAAGGATGGACTGGTGCTACACAGTGGAATACACTTGGCGTGGCCTCTCCCTCTCTAGCCAGCATTCTGTTTAGCTTCCCCAGGGGCCAACTTCACACATCCTTGACCCATAGCAGGGCTGAGGCTGGATGAGCTCTGGCTTTCAGTTTCCATATTGATGAAGTTCAGGTGCTCTTGCCATTCCTGGGATGACCAGGCTCCAGCTCTGGTATAGTCATCACCCATGCTAGGAAGATGAGAGAGAGCATGCAACAAGCAGTGAGAGGGGCAGCTGTCGGTGGGAGAGAAGGAAGTGGTCATCCAGCTCTGTGGCAGGCAGAAGGCTGGAACAGGCCAGTCATTTTGACACTCTTAAGAGCCCACTAGCTGTTTCCAGAAAGTGTTAGTTAAGATCTTAAATCTGTCTTTGAGGCGCCTCATCCCACAGGTACAACAAATGAAGTTCATTTTTCTACTTAAGCTAGACTATGTTCTCATCCTAAAGACCTGGATGAATGAGCTGGTGTGTGTTCTACATGAAAGTGCATCTGACTGATGGCCTTAACCTTAGGCTGTATCTGCTTTGCCTAGTTCTTAGCTGCCCAGCTCTCTGCAGCAGGGCCGCTCTGATTGCTCTGGGGGTACATAGTTCTCAGAGAAGTCCAGTAGGGCAGAGCTTGCTCCTGGCAGGTGACAGGCTAAGGGTCATCCCAGCTTCTGTGGACTCTAGCCAAACATGCCTGGATCCTGTCCTCAAGACTGATGAAAGCCTGCTGTGAGGTGGGTAAAGGGACAATCCTAAATTCCTACCACACAAGCCATGTGTGTCTAGTACTGATATATGAGGACAGCTGTGTTTGAGAGTCCTACTTGTAATGGGAATGTTAACTTTTTTTAAAACTCTAGTTGGTTCATTAGGAGATAATGAGAACTGGGTTAGTGGGACCTTATCCTAGGGTGGGTGTTATGCTTAGGCAGATGACTTGTCTTATTGATGTGATGATGCTCCTGTGTGCTCAGTGGAGATGTAGTCATTTTTTTTCCAAATAAAAGAATGGTTATAGAATAAGCAGATGTTAAGACTACAGGAAAGAGCCTTCACGCTTGGGAGGGAGCTTCCGTGACAGTAACCTGAGAAGTCTGTCCTATGTTGCTAAGCCAGGCCCCTATGGCACATGTATCCTGAGTGCCAGAACTTTTGTCTCTTGAATGCTGTTTGAAGGTAGTGACCGGTGAAGGTACTGGGAGTATTTCCTAACCACTATTTTGCAGTGCTCTCCTTCCCTGTCCTCAGTGGATTTCCTCCATGGTGGGGTCTCCATGGCTGAGTCCTGCAGACTCAGCAACCAAAGAGCTCATCCACCTGGGAAAGCAGGGGCAGACCTCGGCTCAGCACCTGAGGGCCTGACCTGAACCTCTCAGTTTATGCAAAGAGCAGCTGTTCAGAGAGCACATCCAACACCCCTCAGCAGGATTCATGCTTTACCTGGAAAACTGACCTAGCCTAACCCCTGCCTTCAAGGGTTAATTAAGCAACTATTATAACTGTTGTGTGCCAGGCTCCCTGATTGTTGCATAGCAGACCTTACTTTCCTTCTGAGCAGCAATATAACCAGGAGATCACTGACCTGAAGCAGCCAGTGTTGGTGAGCCAGCCCAAGCGGAGGAGAGGCCCTGGAGGCTCACTGCCTGGCCCCGCTATGCTCATCCCAGAGCTCTGCTACCTCACAGGTGTGTGGTGCTCCCCACTTCTCCACAGCTCTGCCTTCTCCACCCTCCTCTCTTCCCTTACTGCCCACCATAGCCATCCCCACTCCAGGGGCTGTGCAGCCTCCCAGTTGTTCAGCTTTTTACCTGCACTGCTTTGGTTGAAGGTCTGACTGACAAAATGCGCAACGACTTCAATGTGATGAAAGACCTGGCAGTGCACACTCGACTGACCCCTGAGCAACGGCAGCGGGAGGTGGGCCGGCTCATTGACTACATCCACAAGTAGGCACCCTTCCACACCCTCAGCCTCTGTTCTGGTTTCTCTGGGGGTCTGTGCCGGTCTTGGAGGACAGAAGGTATGGGCTCCTGTGTTCCCAAGGGAATGAAATTTCACATGTATATGTGGCTTTTCTAGTCCCTTCAGGAAAAGGAAGTGGGAAGGAAGAGCTAGAAATTTTTAGACCAATCTGTTTCCAGTCTATACTGTGTGTGGGTATATCCCACTTAAGGGATACAGTCAACACATTGGGATCTTAAGTGTGGAGAAAGAAGCAGGTGTAGTAGAAACAGGAACTTGTCTTGTGTTCTGGGCCCAGGGTGGCCTTGAAGTATACTGCCCACCTGCATGTAGGGTCAGCCAACCTAGCTGCTATCTGCTCATACTGGGCATTTCTCCAACTTACAGGGATGACAATGTGCAGAAGGAGCTTCGAGACTGGGGCTTGAGCTTTGATTCCCATCTGCTGTCATTTTCAGGAAGAATCCTGCAGTCCGAGAAGATTCACCAGGGTGGAAAAACAGTAAGGCCGTTTCTGAGGCAATAGTTGGGCAGGATTTGGGGCAGATCTCTGTGAGACACAGTCCTCTCCCCTTCCCCTCTTCCCCTTCCTTGTACCCTGCCAACTATGGAGGGCCACAGTACAGCCCAACTGGGGCACTCTTTAAGAGGCAGCCTGGGACCTTTGAGCACGTGGAACCCAAAGCCCAGTCCTCAAAATAAGATCTGGCTAAAAAGGAGCTGCTTTTAAAAAATATTTGTGTATGAGTGTATTGCCTGCATGTGTGAAAGTGCACCCATGTCATGCAGTACCCTTGGAGATCAGAAGAAGGTGTCAGATCCCTTGAAACTGGAGTACAGATGGTTGTTAGCCACCATGTGGGTGCAGGGAACCAAATCCAGGTCCTCTGTAAGAGCAGTCAGTGCTCTTAGCCATTGAACCAACTCTCTGGTCCTGGAGCTGCATTTTCAAAAGTAACCCAGCTTAGGGTATAGAATAGTCTAATGTCTGTCTGGGCATTTTATCGACACCAAATAATTTACCTGGGAAGCCCCCATTTGGTTGGCTTTGTCTTCCCGGGCCATGTGTCTCTTTGAATTCATGTTAAACATCACAGTGCCTTTTACGGTTTTTCAGGAAAAGGAAAAACAATTTTTAAAAATAGTCCTATGAAGTCAAAGCACTGCAAATACCAAATCCTTAAACATTATTTTGAAAGCTGCACCTTTCCTCCTAGGGTAGTGCTGAGGGAGCTGCCCAGCTGTGTGAAGGGATGGCTGACTTAGTGCTTCCAGCAGCCTGTAGACATGCAGGACCAGCTGTTACAGCAGAAGCCCTGGGTGTTAGCTCTGATAGCCACAAGTGGCTCTTCTCTGAGTTTTACTATCTGCATGGAATGCTACTATCAACGGACTTAGCTTTCCAGCCTTATTTTTTATGCCTTTATCATGAAGAAAATGGCACTAATCTTTGTAAGCCTTTAGAAGAAATGATGGTATCAGGAGAGATGATGATGAGATCTCCCATAGCACTCGGGAAAGTGCCTGACAAAGTAAGGTCAGCATGAGGGTATGATATACAAAGGCCATCCTCCTCCAGATGCATTTTGTGACTTCCAAGCTGGGTTTTTTGTTTTGTTTTGTTTTGTTTTGTTTTTTAATCTGTTACTCTAGCTCAAACTTGAGTGTGGTAGTCTATGGCTCAAAATAACTGGTGAGATTGTGCAAGATCTTTGAATTTGTCACAACTAATAGTGGCATTTCTACCCTTTGTTCTAGTTTGATTACAACCCACAGTTTGCAGACTGGTCCAAAGAAACAAGAGGCGCGCCATTGATCAGTGTGAAGCCACTAGATAACTGGCTACTGATCTATACACGCAGGAATTATGAAGCAGCCAACTCACTGATACAAAACCTGTTCAAAGTCACTCCAGCTATGGGTATTCAGATGAAAAAGGCAATCATGTGAGTGTCTCGGGGCCATGATTGGTAGTCATGTGAAAGGTGTGAAAAACTCCAGAGTGATGGAGCCACCAGTGAGCTCCTGCAGCCCCAAGATTTGCCAGGGCTCCCAGCAATATAGACACACAGAGAAAGTGGGCAGGAGAAAAGATTAGGGAGGTGTGCTTAGTAAGCTGGGCTGGCAGTGCAGCTTATTTTGGCCATGACCCTTCACCCAAATGGATGATCCTAGAGCTATGCTTCTTGTCATTTTGTGTTTGATGCAGAAAATACTGACCATGTTACAGTTTGTCGGCTTGCACACCATCTGTCTTCTTGAATGTTGTCTGCACTTCCATTCTAGGATCGAGGTAGATGACAGAACCGAAGCTTACCTGAGAGCCCTGCAGCAGAAGGTCACATCAGATACCCAGATAGTGAGTAGCTGCTGGCCCAAGCTGTGCCAGGGAATGCGGGGCTGAGAAGGTGCATCAGGGAGTCTCTGGATACTACTCCTTTTCTAGTCCTCAAATGAGCTACAAAACTTGTCTTTGGCCTTTAAGGTAGCTGGGCTGATGCTTGTGTGAGGTGTGTGCCCAGGAACTGGTGACTGTGCCCTGCAAAAGATGAGGTGGTATGAAGAGAAAGAAGCCTGTCTTTAGTTCATTCTGCCTCAGAGGCTCTAGTTCTAGAAGCTTTAGGAAAAGCAGAGGCAGAAGAGTAAGAGCCAACTCTTATTTGTTGAGCAGATACAGAAGTATGGCCGCAGAGAAACTCTGGAGGTCAGCACCTGCACTGTGAATACCAGGTCACTGCGCAGGCTGCTGATTGCAGAGTGTGGTACCACAGCCCCTCTTGTGAGCTGGGCTGCCTTGACCTTAGTGAGTGCCATCCTTCTGTCATGTGAGACTTGGCACTCAGGAGAGGAGTGGTGATGTGCATGGTGCCACAGGTCCTATGTGTGCTGGTGGAAGTCCTCTCAGTGGTGGCATGTCGTTGCCTGCAGTATGCCTGAGGAGGAGGTGGGGGACAAAATTGAAGGCAAATCAGAGGATGGATGGTAGGTAGTCCAGGATGGTGACTGCATCTGCACCACATTATCGGATCTATTCTGGCCGTACTCTAGGAGCACTGGGGACTTCCTGTTTGTTTTCTCATGACCTGTGACATCACTGACTAGAGGAGATTCTGGAGTCAGATCCAAGCTGCACAGCCTGGCCCAGGCCAGCCACCTGTGTGACCCCAGCAAGGCTTGGGTTACAGTTTCTCCACTGAGAACATTGATGTGATGATGACAGTCACCCTGTTGTCCTTCCAGACTCCAACAAGTACTTTGAATTAGTAAGAAGAGTGTCACCTCATACTATGCATGTGCATGCCAGGCACACTACTTGGGTCTGCACAATTCCTGAAGAAGGCTTTTGCATTTAAACATTTCTAAAAAGTGATCTCTGTCCCACAGGTTCTTCAACCCGACACTGATGGACATGCTACTGCTCTTTACTATTGCTCTTCAATTTGGCCTTCACAAATATGAGTGATAGTGCTGTGGTGACCGAGTAGGGCAGGAGGTGGGGTCAGGGCTCAGGGCTCAGGGCAGGAGCCAGCTAGGCCTAACCTTTTCACTGTCCTCTGCTCAAGAAGCACAGGCCTCTTGTGTGGCAGGAAGCCATAGCAGGCTGAGGTAGGAGGCTGGCTACAAGGGAACCACACTGAAGGAATAGCTTCACCCACCTCTCCACAGACTGGTGACCTTCCTCCTTCACGTCCCTGCATCCTCAGCCCTGCATGTGGGAAGTGATGGCCTGCACCCATGTACTCCAAACGTAGCTCATGAATTAAGGTCTCTACGCTAAACAGTCTCTGTATTTTGCTTCATTTTTCTGCTGGTGGTGGATCTCTGCCTCCTTAAATCCCAAGGCAGCTGCTGCAAGTCTCATTAGCAGGGTGGGCTTCCAAGAAACACCTGGGGGCATGGCAGTCTCTTGTAACAGTCAGTTGCCTCTAAGAACAAAGAGCCAACAAAGGAACAGATTGTATAAAGCCAGTCATTAGTTAGACTTAAAGCAGCAGCCTGAAACAAATGGTGATGTGGGGTCCCACAGGTCCCCATTGCCTTTGTACCTTAGCACAATGCTAGCACAGTTCTGCAGAGAGCTCGTAAGCTGCAAATGATGGAATGATACAGATAGGAGAGTGAACCTCCAGAAATGAGGACACAGCCCTCTGTGGCTGTGGTGGATAAATGCATTGAGGGAGGGATGATGAACTGCACATGAGAGAGGGACACACCAAATCAGTTCATAACTGGCTGATGTTGGGAGTATGTCTTTGGTTGTGAATTTTCTATTACTGTGACAAATACCTGCCAGAGTTTAAAAGGGAAGATTGATTTAGGCTTATGTTTCAGAGGTTCAGTCCAGGGTCATTGGCTCCATTGTTTCCAGGTCATGATGAGGCAGAGCATCACAGAAGGGAGGGTGTAGCGATGCAGAGCTACTCACCTCATGGTAGCCACAGAACAGAGGAACAGAAAAGGAACAAAATGTACTCTTCAGAGGCAAGCCCCTGGGTCCAATCTCCTCCCTGATCTCACTTGTCATTCCCATCATCACCCAACAATGTCATCAAGCATTGATCCCATCAGTAGATTAATCACTCAGGGTCCAGTCGCCTCCCCAAGACCCAGCTCTAAACACTACTGGGGACCAAGTCTTCCACACCAAACTGACACAGGCTGCCTTTAAGAACAAATTAGAAGTTTATATTTGGTTCATGCAGAAGCAGTAGAAAGAGCACAAAAGGAATTCCCTAACCCTTAGCACTTCACCACCAGCCTAAGAGGCCATGCAAGCATTGAGGGCCAGAGACAGACTGCCCACATGACTGGAGTCCTGAATAGTGGCCTGTTTATGTCCAATCTGCTTTTCCTTTTTGCCTTCATCTCCTCAACCCACAGGCAGGTAGATAGTTGCTGTGTTACCTAAAATAATGGAGATACCAGGGTGGAGCCTGATGTGCTGGGAATAAGACAAAAGTCAGTCTAGGGGTACACTGGGGCATGCAGCAGTGAGTCACGAGCTGGATTGGCTCTAGGAACTTGAACATGGATTCCCAGAGTTCAGATGTTCCATTGCGCCCTCAGAATTGCCACCTTCTTCCTGGGAAAGTTCAAAAGTTCATGCTATGATCAGATTCCTAAGCCAGAGCTTTGGGGTTTGAAAGCCATTCTGGAAGAGCCATGAGTTAAGGCTCAGAGAGCTGTGCATCTCCTACCTGTGAGTGAATCACACTTGCATTCACTGTTTCACCCAGACCATGGACTACCCTCAGGTTCTTGGGCTTGTAGACTTGGTTCTACTGACTTGAGTGTATATGCAAAGCATCTGTCTCTTAGATTATGACAGATAACATAGAAACAGCATTCCTGTCCTACTGATTAGCCACATGGCAGAACTGATAGGTGGCATGGGTGACAGCACTCACGTGAGTGCTCACCCACGACAGCACTCACGGAGCCCAGGTCTTTCCCCCTTATGCTTGGCCTTCTGTTTCCTGGTTCTCTGTAATGAGGCATTTGTTTTCAGGTTGTCTGTTTATTGTCAAGTAACCGGAAAGACAAATATGATGCCATTAAAAAGTACCTGTGCACAGACTGCCCCACACCAAGTCAATGTGTAGTGGCCAGGACCCTGGGCAAGCAGCAAACAGTCATGGCCATCGCCACTAAGATCGCCCTGCAGATGAACTGCAAGATGGGTGGCGAGCTCTGGAGGGTCGACATGCCTGTGAGTCTGTGTTCACTGGGAGACAGAGTGGTTGAATGGTTTAGGAAAGGAGACTTGGCATGTTAGCATCTGCCAGTGCCCTGCCATGCCTAAATGACACATTTCCTCTAAAGCTGAAGCTGGCCATGATTGTTGGCATCGACTGTTACCATGACACCACGGCCGGGCGGAGGTCTATTGCAGGATTTGTTGCCAGCATCAACGAAGGGATGACCCGGTGAGTCAGGGAGCCATGGCCATGGAATGGCTGGCTAGTAGGAGCACCATGAGGCATAGGGCTAGCCTGTTGTGTCCCTGTCCTGCTGCACATTTCAGAAGGGTCACCACCCTGCCCCTTTTTGACACTCGCTGCCCAGTCTATACTCTGGTATCTTCCTTAAGGTTCATTGAACATGGCCAACTCTGAAAAATCCTTAGTTTGACAGTTTGTTCTTGGCCCCTGAAAGAGATTCATGCTTTTAATGTAGAAAGCCGTTTACCCAGTCCCCTGTTTTCAGCATTAGCTTTCATGTTTTTGTGGAATGAGGGAACTGCCCACAGCAACAGAGCCTGAAGCTACTTGTAGGTGTCAGTGGGTATGGGTCTGGTATTGGGGAGCAGAGGGAACTGTGGAAGGCATGGCCTGTTGAGAGCAGAGCGGTGAGCACTTGCTTCAGGCAGGCCAGGTGGACCCAGGTGGCCTCCTTGCCACTCTCATTTTCCCCCTTCTGAAGAAAAGTGCGCTGCTGCATTAGAATTTGAGAAATTGACATGGGCAACTTCAGAGGGTTTCTTGCTCTTCTGCTTGGCTGAGGTCTCCTAGGGGGGTATGTGGAAGGTGGCAGAGGAAGACTTGTAGGAAATTAGAACCTAGAGCAGCTGAGCAGAGAAGTTGAGGGTCCTCACCACCCTGCTTTTCTCTAAATAGCTGGTTCTCCCGATGCATCTTTCAAGACCGTGGACAGGAGCTAGTGGATGGACTCAAGGTGTGCTTGCAAGGTGGGTCTGTGTACCCCTCTGTCCTGACTGAGACTCTTGAGCCATTACTGAAAGCACTTGGGAACTGGAAGGACTCCGTGTGAACTCCTGAAGACCTCCCTGACTTTTACAGCTGCCTTGAGGGCTTGGAGTGGATGCAATGAGTACATGCCCAGCCGAGTCTTCGTGTACCGAGATGGTGTGGGGGATGGGCAGCTGAAGACCCTGGTCAACTATGAGGTCCCACAATTCCTGGACTGCCTCAAGTCAGTTGGGAAAGGATACAAGTAAGCATGTCGGTCCCACAAAGCTGCTCTAGAAACCAAACTGTTTGCCTTTGAAATTAGTGTCATTTGATGGAAAGGTAGTAGCTTCACAGGAGTGGATCTGAAGGTAGTGAAGGGTAAGAGAGGCGGGGTTAAGCAAGCAGCCAATGCAGCCTACCTGTTCCCTGAGGCTGGATCTGGTTTACATCACAGCTCAGTGCAGCCTACTTCACATGGTTTGCTCTGAAGCTGTGCTCACAGTAGTCAGGAGTAGTGCCTGCCAACACACCACCATGAGCTCCTACCGCACTCTGAGCCCTATCTAGGCAGACAGAAGCAGGTTCATAGCACATGGACCCAGTTACATTCTGTGTTCTTCCCAAAGCTGTGGGCATCTGGCAGTCCCCACAACAGCAGAGCTTTGTGGGCGGATGGTGTCATTTCTACCAATGTCCCTGCTTCTCTCAGTAAAGTCTGTTTACTGCTCATTGACACGATGTTGTGGAAGAGAAGTTCCCATGTGGGTCTTGTGGGCCTCATACCCAGGCTCCTAGAAATTGTTTACCTCTAGAGAATGCAGAGTTACTGAGTTCTGTGTTCCTAGAACTTTACCTGAGAGCAGAAGTCAGCCATGTCTAAGCTTGGAAGGAACTGATGTTAATCTAAATAGAGTACACTCTTGATCCTTACTGCTGCCAAGCAGGTCAAATGCAGCCTTGTTTTGAGGCTCAATTTATTGACGCCTGTGTGTGCACAAGTGACTCTCCCAAGGGATTTCAGAAGAGCCTTTCAAAGGTGGGAGAACCAAGTGGGAGGGAACTTCCAGCAGACTACTGCCCCTAGAGAGAGGAACTATGTACAGGCCACATGCTCCTGCTGGGCATTTAATTTCCCTCAATGTGAATAATGCAGAGGGAGCTGGTTGTGACAGTGTGTGCACCCTGTGTACCCCAAGGCAGCCAAAGACTAGCAGTCGGAGGGCTCTACATCTTTGAGACTCTAGGGAAATATGAAACACAAATAACCAAGTTATCCATCCTGGTGATGTGCCATTAGTTTTGCATGTTTACATATTTACCATCCCGCAAGAAGTGTTTTAGATATAGTATATTGGGATAGATAGTGTTTGTGTGTGTATTATGCATATATATTGTATGTGACATACTATGATCCATTATGAACCAGTAATTCTGAAAACAACCAGGTCAGACATTGATACTCTTTGAGCCAGCTGTCCTAGACAGATCCCAGAGCTAAATGTGAATTTTCCAGAGTAGGAAATGCTCATTGCAGGGTTGACACTGCGTACTTTTGAGGCCTGCTGGAGGTAGCATTCTGGTGTGACAGGTATGCTAAGTTTAGTCTGTACGTGCACCTGCCTGGCCTCCTGTCATGGAGCACACAGGTGATATCTGGTTATCCAGCCCCAAGTCATACCTGGCCCTTTCTCCTCCAGTATGTAGGCAAGTGATGTGACCAAGAGGGGGGCCCGTCCCTGAGGGACAAGTGAACATGTGTCCACATGCCTGAACAGGCCACCATCCTAGTGCAGCCATGCTCCTCTTTATCCTTTAGCCCAAGACTGACAGTGATCGTGGTAAAGAAGCGGGTCAATGCCAGGTTTTTTGCTCAGTCTGGTGGAAGACTCCAAAACCCACTTCCAGGGACAGTCATCGATGTGGAGGTCACCAGGCCCGAGTGGTAAGTTCTGGGGCCTTGAGACTTAACCAGCATTAGCATCTTTGCTTTTTGATTTCCAACACTGTGTTTCCTGGACATCCTCTTCAGCTGATGTGGTTGGACATCCTCATTAAAGAGGATGAGACTGTTGAGACCTGAGAAGGCCCACTCCCTCTGGTTGGCTTCTTGGTTGATTGGAGAAGTTTTTCTTGTATGGTGTTTCAGAGACTAGGAGCAGCTTCTGCAGAGAGCATGTTTTTACACATATAGGGGGCTAGAGAGATGGCTTAGTGCTTGCGAACACTTGCTGCACCCCTGCCAAGGACCTGGGTTCAGTTCCCAGTACCCACATGGTGACTGACAATTGTCTATAACTCCAGTTTCAGGGGATCCAGCACCCTTTTCTGGCCTCCAAGAGTACCAGGCACTCATGTAGTACACATACATGCATTCCAGCACACACACATGCATGAAAAATACAATAATTTTATGGATATAACTTCTTCCAAAGGTTATTTCTAGCAAATTTTTAGAACTGTGATGCCACACACAGTTGTCCAGAGGTCAAGGCTTCATCTCATACATTAGACAGTTATAAAAGTGGCTTGTATGTCAGCAGAGCTATATGGAGCCTGTAGCTGTGCACCAAAGTAAGAAAGCAAAAGCCAGCAAGAGCTCAGGGCCCTGTGAGCACAGGGCCAGCCTTACAGCATACAGGGCTCAACTGATGGGCAAACTGGTATGCATCTGTGATGAGCTCCTTCTGGAGGACCAGGCGGGGCTGTGTCTGAGGCAGTAAGCCATGTTCTGGGGACAGCAGTTTGCCACCCAGTCTGCAGCCACCCTTTCTTCTAGTGTGTAAGGCTGAGGAGGGTTTATGGAATTATAGGTGAGGGTTTGGGAACCTCACTAATGTCCTTATTTTCCCTGCATGAACCCCAGTGGGTGAGGTGCTCTTAACAACTGAGCCTCACTGGCCTGAAAACCTGAACTGGGTGTTCAACTGACCAAATCCTGCAAGTCTTCCAAAATCTGAAATCTGAAGCATTTTTAGTCAATGGCATTCCAGACAGGAAAATCACAACAAAAGGTTTTTGTTCCATTTCCTCTGCTATGTAATTGAACAAAGGTTGTTGTTGTTTGAAATGCACTGTTTTGGGTTTCTCTTTTGCTCAAAATTTGGTTGTAGTATTGGTTCCTTCTTGGGGGAGGGGTTTCTATCATATTAGGAACATCCACAAGGCAGGCAGAATGAGGATGAGACCCAGACAGGGCCAGTCCTCTCCTGTGGGCCTCCCTGACCCTTCACAGAACCTGATGTCACACCTGACTGTTCAGGTACCACACAAGAAGATGGCTAGGTAAGCCCATGAGCAAATGGGGCAATGTCCAAATGAATTTGGAGAATGACAGGTACGTGTTGTCACCAGATACTGTTCAAACCCCAACTGTGAGAGCTACTCAGATACTTGGAGTGAACAGCAGGATTCTCTAAAACAGCAAGGAGCTTTGACTACCACACACAGATCTGATTCTCTCTAGAATTTGTTCCCTGTGGACACATATCATTGAACATCAGACCCCCATTCTTTCCCAAACAGACTCCAATATAGAGCACTTCTGATTTCATATTTCTCTAGCCTAGGTAGACATAGTGAATCGCAGAGTTAATTTCTTTCTGTCACAGGTCAGATTACAAGATCTCTTGATTGAGATTTCATTGCTATCAGGAAACAAAAAGCTCAGATGTCAGGCTTTCTCCTAGAATGCTGCTTTGGCAGTATTGCCTATGCTCAGCTTTGTCCTTCTGCTTGGTTCCACACTCCATTTATTCTCTCTCTCACTTACCTTTTCTCCAAGTCCTTAAATGATCAAACTATATTGTTGCTATTAACAATGGGAGCAGCAAGATGAAACAGGTCCTATCTCTACTCCCTGTCACTGCTCAGTACCCCATGTGGCTGAGTCCCCTCCCCTCCTGCAGTGTGTAGGGGAGAATAAGGGCTAGGACTGTGGCTGGTATGCTCTGTGGCATTAGCATTGTGACATAGATGTAAACAAATGAGCTTCATATACTTCTGTGCATGCTGCCATCAGTGGCTCAGAAATTGCTTGCCCTGGGCAGCACAGACACTGGGGCTGGAGGAGAGATGAGCTTGCTTGAGAGCACAAGGTATTTCCTTATAAAAAGGTGTCCTCTCCCTGCCTGGTCTTTTCTGCCTTTGTAGGTATGACTTTTTCATTGTGAGCCAGGCAGTGAGGAGTGGGAGTGTTTCCCCAACCCACTACAATGTCATCTACGACAGCAGTGGCCTGAAGCCTGACCACATCCAGCGGCTAACATACAAGCTCTGCCATGTCTATTACAACTGGCCTGTGAGTGCATGCCACTGTCTGGGCCCCTTTCTGGTCTACCCGCCCCACTCAGCAGGCTGTGGTAGGGAGTCCCATTCAACCAGTTCAACCCAATGACAGGCCTTCTTTCCTCCCACAGGGTATCATCCGTGTGCCTGCACCCTGCCAGTATGCACACAAGTTAGCCTTCCTCGTGGGCCAGAGCATCCACAGAGAGCCGAACTTATCTCTATCCAACCGCCTCTACTACCTCTAACTGTGAGGGTTCCTTCTGGAACTCTGCCAATTCTTAGCTTTTATTTTTTAAATAGTTTTCTTTCTAAAGGAAATTTGGGGAGGGAATTGGGAGAACCAAAGTTTTATTTCTAGTGTTGCTATTTAACTGCTTTCTTATTTTATAGGTAAAAATTAAGATTTTAAATTTGACTTTGTTTCTCTTAGTGTGTTGTGACAGTTTGCCTGGCAGAGGGTGGGCAAGGCCTTTTGAACCACAGATAGACTTTCCTAAAGCAGCCATGTCAGCAGGTTACTCCAGGGAGTAGGTCCTACCTGTACACTGCTCTTTGTTTTTGAATTTTGAGTTGAAAGGAGAGAAGGGATGAAGCAGAATGCTCACATCATAGGTGGGTGCTACACACAGATATCTGACAGCTCATGTTTTAAAGATAAGAGCTGCCACTAAATGCCTACATATAAGCTAGGGGGAAATGCTTATTTTGTCTTAAAGAGTTAAGTAGCAGCTGGGCATGGTGGCACATGCCTTTAATCCCAGCATTTGGGAGGCAGAGGCAGGTAGATCTCTGTGAGATCAAGGCCAATCTGGTCTACATAGCAAGTTTCAGGCCAGCCGGGGCTATAGGGAGACCTTGTCAAAAAAGCAAAAACATAAAAGGACTTAGGTAGTAAGGAATGAAAAGAAGAACCACTGAAAAGTTTTTAATTTTTCTCCAAGGGAGCATTTTAGGACTTTTACAAGAGGTTGACAGTGGAGTTCAGCAACAGCTTTACTGTTGGCTTCACTTTGCAGTTGAGATATCATTCTATTGCTTATAAAATTAGTGATTGTCATTTTGATGATCAGGGTGTTTTGAGTTTGAACGCATGCATTTTCTTTCCATTTACTTTTAAAGTAAACTGCCACAGAGCACCCAGGGGTAGAGTTCCACTCATGAAATAAATCTGGGTGTGGTAGAGGGCATGCCTATGACCTGAGCACTCAGGAAGTGGAATCAGGAGAATCCCAAGTTCAAGGTGAGCCTAGTCTACATAGTGAGACCTTGTCTCAACAATAATAATATGACATTAAAAAAGAAAAAGAGTAGTGTTTGTGGATTACAGTTGTCTGCACAAAGTTCTCAGGGAAAAGCTGCTGCTGTCTGTCCTGTAGTTTGGAGGGCTGTAGCTACTGTGAGCTGTGACTACAAAGGGGATACTTGGAGTTAGTAAGCTACTGTATGTCATGAGAGCAGCCTGAAGTGTGGTTGCAATGTAATGAGTTTAAGCATTGGCATGTGCATGCCCCTGACATAGCTCAATAAAGTTCTTGTCTCACTTTACTGCTATGGGCTCATTCTGTGACACTTCTAGGACCTGCCTTATGGATGTATTGTGAATGAAAAGTATTTTGTTTCCTGGCCACCATCCCTTAACCCATCCAGTGTCTGACATTAGAGGGAGGCACACAGGCTGGGTGTCTAACAGGTCAGCACAGCCTCATTCTCTTAAGGTTTGGAGGGGATGTCACAATGGTCCTTAGAGCCATGAAATTGCTATCATTTCCAGAAACACTGCAGTTCACTATATTCATGGCTATGGGGTGCTCAGGTTTCTCACAACTAAGGGGCCCTGGCTGTCCTTCCTCTTTCCAGTTTCCTGGACTCCAGGCCATAACAGGAGCCTCGGACTTCAAGGGGGCAAACACAGCTGATTTATCTAGGAATGGGGACAGATGCTACTTGGGAAGGTATGCAGGGTCTGGCTTTTCTTGGCTTTGGTTTTAATTGGGTGGACCTCCCACATGAGGGGCAACAGACCTGGGATGGACCAGGAAGAATGACCCAAGCTCTGGCACTGTGGTAGAGCCCTGTTCTAGTGCCCTCAAATCTCCTGCCCTTCTATTAGAGTTGTCATGGTCAGAGGCTGGACCCTGGCAGCCCTAACAAGCTGGGCTCAGCCACCCATTCTGAAAAGGCCAATATAACAGACAAGTAATAGTGAAAAGCAGAAAAAGGAGATTTTTTCATCTGGGTACATTGGGAAGTGGAACAGGGTGATCTAGTGATTCCCGGAAGGCCATCTTCAGGGTCTAGAAGTAAGGTTAAGTTTAAATAGAGGGCAGGAGGTATGTATAGCTAAGCATTTCTGGTCAAAGTGTGGCCCCACCCATCACTGTTTGGGCTCTAGTCTTTCCTGCAAGGTGCCCTGACAAGTTAGAAGTGTGTGAAATCCAGGAGATAGGCTCCCCTCTGACTGGCACGAGAGCTCTTTTTCCAGCTTGAGGCTCCTAGAGAAATGCCAATTCTGGTGGTCCGTTTTATTTTGTAGTCAATTTTTGACCTTTAGCCAGGTGTGAGGCTCAAGTCTATAATCCCACCCCTGGGGAAACTAAAGCATGAGAAGATTGCCATGAGCCTGAGCTGGAAGCCAGCTTGGGCTACAGTGTGAGACCCTGTCCTCAAAGCAAAAACGAATCCTTGATTTTTCTGTATGTTCTGTAGTAGAGACTGCTGTGTAATTTGTCCTGGGTGACACATAGAACATCTCTTCACTCCACAAAGGCATTGACAGACCATAAAAGCTATTCCATTCAGGTCCACCCTGGTGAAACATTGTTGACTGGGCTACAGGAGCACGGATGGACTTAAAGGCAGTTGTACCACCAGAACTCTCCTTAGCATGGGTGCTGCACTAGGATCCCAACCCCATTCAACCTTAAACATCTCTGTACTCTAGCACCTGTATCCCTGCAATGGAAAGTTAGTAGGCCCAATCTTGTGAATGTCTGGTGTGGATGATCACAGTTGTTCAAGACAACTAATGGTTACTTCCAACACAGAAAAAAACAGCTATACACAGATGCAGTTTCATGCTGCTGTACACAGGAAGTCCCTTCCACCTGCATTTCATGGAGAGCATCTTTTCCACTGAACTGTGATTCTGCCTCAGCCTATAGCAAACTTGTTTTAATTACTATCATCACCTAACTCTTGATACCTGGTAGGAAAAGTTTATGATTTTATATGAAATTTTGAACCTATTATGATATTATGGAAAAAATGAGATGTTACTGAATTGCATTGAATCTATAGAAACATTTAGGGAGAATAGACATCTTTATGGTTCTCTAAGTGTTTTATTCCAATGATTTGGCTCTTTGAAAGGTTTTCTATGAGTTTTCTAATTTCCAGTGGAATGCATTGTGCTTTATTAGAATTATTTCTGAGCAGTTTAAAGTTTTGTTGTCTTTATAAATGTTATCATTGTAATGTTCTTTAAAGAATTATACTTTATAATTGTTTTTCTTGTGTCTTTTGTCCAACCACTATTTTTTGTTTCTGGTTTGCCTGCATTCTCTTGTGCCTTCCATGCTGTGGTTGTATCCGCTCAAGACAGCAGCAGGTCTGTTTTTCTCTTTTGAGTCCTTATGCTTTCATTTTTAAGTTTTTAATATTTTTACTTTCTATTTTATATGTATGAGTGTTATTGCCTGCACCTGTGTCATGCAATGCTCATGGAGGTCAGAAGAAGGCATTGGATTTCTCTGGAACTGGAGTTACAGATGGTTATTATCTGACATGTGGGTGCTAGGAATCGAAACCCAGTCCTCTGCAAGAGCAGCCAGTGCTCCTAACCACTGAGCCATCTCTCCAACCCCCTTATTTTCTTTTTTATTGCATCAGTCAATCCCTCTAGTTTAATGTCAAATACAAAGGGTTAGAGTATATATTCATGCCCTATTTCTGTTTTTAAGTGCCTATTAACTTTTTCCTCATTCTAGGTGATAATACATTGCATTGTTTCTCTTTTTTTTCTTTTCTTTTTGTCTTTTTGAGACAGGGTCTTCTTGAGATTGCAGCTGTCCTGGAACTTACTATGTAGACCAGGCTGGCCTCAAACTCACAAAGATCCGCCTGCCTCTGCCTCCCAAGTGCTGGGATTAAAGGTGTGTGCCACCACACCCAGCATATATTGCATTATTTTTATGAGTGCCTATCCCAGGCTAACAGCGTTCTCTTCTGTTCATGGCTCGGGATGATCATGTGATCCTTATATTTCATGTTGTTAATATAGTGAATGTTTAAAATACTCTGAGATTGAACTATCCTTGCATCCCTGGGATATACTAAGTTGGTTTCTTTCTTTAATATGCCGTTGGCTTTGTTACCTTACATTTTGTTCAGAGATTCTACATTTCTACTCTTGATAAAAGAGGCTTGTAAGTGTCCATTTTCTCGTTTTGTTTAGTTGGCTTTGTTGTTCGAGTTTGCACTTCTTTATTTTCTGGAGGTGCTTATGTATGATTACAGTGACTTCTTCCTTCAGTATTTGGTAAAGAAGTTTTCCTTGTGAGAAATATTGTAATGACTACTTCAGTTTCTTGCAAATATAGCTTCTGGCTTTCTATATGTCAAGAATCAGCTTTTATTTTATACTTTTCTCAGGGATCTCCCCCATTTTTCTGAGTTTCCAGTTTATGGACAGGCTGTTGATAATCTTTCCATCTTTAAGAGCCTCCATGTTCCCAATCTTGTCCTCTTCCTGTTCAGGTGTTAGAGACATTTTTTGCTCTTTGGAGTCAGCATTTCCAGAGTCACGTTACTTTTATTATTAGTTGGAAGTTATTTAATCTAGCTGACTTCTGTTTTTCACTATTACTTTCTGTTCCATTGGTTCTGTTCTATTGCCTCTTTGATTTTATTTTTTATATTTAGCATCTTCAATTGGGCAGAGCTCATTTATCCTTGAAGTGGTAGTACTTACACTAGGAAAGTCCCTCTGAAGTGTGACTTTCCCTGGGGCAATGTTCTGTTTTTACTGGAAGTCAGCTCTAAACATGGAGTTTAATATTTTTCTGTTTGATTCTTCTTTACTAGTTATTTAGAAATATATTTTTTTAATTTCTAAGTCATTAGGAAGTTTAATTGTTAAGTTTCCATTTGCTAGGCAGAATTGGTTAATTCATACAGGTTCAAGAACTAAGAATCTAGATCTGAATGTGACTATGTTTAATGGTAACAAAGATTAGTTGTCATTTTG